GCATAGCAAAATGAACATTATATGCACATAAATATGAAAGGCTATTAACAAACGTTCAACTTATTTGTGAAATGTTTCGCGATCTTAGATTCTTAGATACTAAGATAGTCGTCTGATTTGTAAATTAATCGATTGTATCTAGTACCGATTGCGACATTTTGGCTAAGTATTGATTCGCAAGATCGATGATGCATGCACAACATGCACTGTCGATACACCTGGTCTAGTTCCATTTGGATTTAATACGATTCACGTGGATTTTTGTTTTTTACCATGATTTATATCTTCTTAATGGATTTATGAGATTTTACTATCGGTAAACAACTGTAGCTTAAATTCTAATTTAACATGTCGTTCCTTCCTACGTCTGTTTGACCCTGGTTAATTCCGCACAAAAGTGCAATTTATTTAATGAAACATTTATTTTTGTACCTAATTTGATACGGATTGATCACCGTGGTAGTGCTATTATATCGTCGATAGGTTTGGCCTAAACTCTAAAAAGTGTTATTTACAACTGGAATTTTACGATAGCAAAATCAAGACTTTTTCATAACCGAAAGCCATAGTGTGTACATATATGTTGTTGATTTATGCTGTTACAGTTTTCCCTTGACCCAGTCCGTCTCTGAATATTCTAACTTTTATCTCATCTTTCAGTCTCAACTGCTTCATGCACATATTTGCACCGAACTGATAATCAACCCTTCCAGGACCAGTTTTGATTTTAAAATGGATAAATCATTGATATTTATGTGAAGACATTGACGGTGGTTAAGAGAATGATAGTTATCATATATAGTACAAAATAGACATCAGAACGTTTATGTGTTTCATTGATTGAAATTGCATGTTCGAGAAGACTTTTGTTAAACTGCTTCTAATACCGTTATCTTTCCGTCAAAGCGTTTGATTTTCAGCGACGTTTAATTGACTTCATTTGTGTGTTTGTTGGGCATAAAATCTACCGTGGCTTTAATACGTTGAGCATGGAGTGAATATTCTATTGCATTGAAATAATTCCCTTATGTCTGTCTAGATAATTGTGTTCTTTGATACAATTAATATAATTATGTAGGAAGGATTAAGTTATGTACACAGAAAGTAAAGACGGAGGCTTGAAAAAATGTCAATCAGACACAATAATTTGTCAACTTAAAGATGCATAGATGATGTAAAAAAAATGAAACACTTAAATAACGTCAGTTACTGAACACGAAACTAACGCTTTAAGGGCATACGATACAGTTACAGGGGAGGTAATGACGTTGCTAACGTAATATGTTATTTTTAGCGACGTCAAACGGCAACATATCGGGAAAAAATGCACTTTTTGAGTGATTTTTATAATTAGCTTGAAAACGAGTACATGGACCCCTCTTTTTTAAAGGACATTTGACTTGATACTGTATGAAGATTATTTGTAAAATTGAGAATGGAAATGGAGAATGTGTCAAAGAGACAACAACCCAACCACAGAGCAGACAACAAGAAGATTATTTGTACCAATTTTTATGAAAAAGTCACCGATAAATTTTTATTTAAATTAGATAAATATGCAGCAAAAAATGCCGTTTTTTACTAAAATTATGAAATTATAATAAAAATGAATTATTTTCAAAAAATTGTCACACAAATTAAGAGCATTATTTTGTAACGCAGATATTCCAAATCATTTTACAAAAATTCGCATGTGTTTATCTTTTAAAACAAAAAAGTTAAGTGTGTCTGTCCAAAGGATAGAAATGTCCAAGAAACTGAAATTTTAAGTAAATGTCTAAAATTTCGGCCCCATTTGTCTCTAAATTTAGTACATGAAGATATATTTTTTATTACATATTTGAATTAACTAAGTGAAAAATAGCTTGTATGCAAATTTTCGTAAAAAAATCACCGTGGGATCAAAACTGTTTCGTATGCCCTTAACGAAGCACATTTATGGATTAACCTTCATCAGTAACGCTCGAACCCCAAATATTTCAAAAGCAAACGCTGTCAAAATACTTGAATACCTTAGTAGCTGTATGAATTAAAAGGGATGCAAATTAATCGCCAAATCCAACTTTGCCTTAGAGAGTTGTACCGTTTGTTTTCCTTATCATTTCTGAACTTATATTTTTTTCTTTTTTGCAATGATTTTGTCAGTCTCTCTTCGAATTTTTAGTTTTTATTTCCTCTTTATCTTCAGCCTCCTTTTCATCAACGAAGTTCCCTCACTACTTTGGACCATGTGCAGTCACTCCTAATTGTAACTACAAACTAGTTCTTTAAAGATCAGGAGTATAATGTTGCTAATAGATCTATTCTTTTAAAGTTTGATCATGTAACCCTTTCCAATAGTTGTTCTAAAGAAGGTCAATTTCATTATTTTCTATCATGATTTCCTTAATAGAGGGTTGCTGCTCGCAGGAAAGCTATTAAACCAGGAGGTTCAAGTATTGAAAGTTCACCGGTGACAAAGGATATGTTCCAATTGTCGTTAAAACAATCCCGTCCTCTTTTCCTTGAATTTGGCCTACCGAATGAGACTTATTATCGGATTTGTTCTTACGTGAGCAACACGACGGGTGCCACATGTGGAGAAGGATCTGCTTACCATTCGGAAGCACCTAAGATAATTTTGGTGGGGTTCGTGTTGCTCAGTCTTCTATGTTTTTTGTATACTAGTGTCTTTCTTTTCGGTTCTTTTCTTTTTCGGCCATAGCGTAGTCAGTTTATTTTCGACATATGAGTTTGAAAGTCTCTTTGGTATTTTTCGCCCCTTTTTTTAACACATGATAAAATTGACCTTCTTTGGAACTAACAACATCGACGAGTTCATTGGTCATGTTTATTAATTAACATAAATATCAAATCCCAAAAGATCCGTCTATGTTGATACTTTTATATCTTTTATCTACAATTTAAATATTTAACCGTATTGCTTTTGTTATCGCTGTCCCTTTTCTTTACCAATCGTGATCTTACTTTCCTTTTGATAACAGATCAGACTTGAATCTGGACATATATTTCTTAATAAGTTAGAAAGAGACAGCTTTTACGACATAGAAGTTGTAATGTACATTAACGACAAACATTATTGGTGTTTAATGTTTCTGTGTTAATTGAGGTTTTATGTTTGGAAACTTAGATTTTGTCACGAATAATAAAAGAGACAAGACATTGGCAAAATAAGTCGACAAATCTACGCAATTTATCATTTTACACGAATGCTGATTTGTCCATTCGAAACTATAATAAAAGAGGGTCTTAAAGGGTGTAATGTCTTCATTTCTGTATTCTTAATTTTTTTCGGTCATTTGTCTGTATTCATTATTTCTGTTGTTTATTCTTTATTATTTATATTTGGGAACCCCATGTTTCTTTAAACTTTATATCATATCCGTATTTCTATATTCTTTTTTGTTTGGTCTATTAATCTCTATTTTGTACACCCTATCCATACCCTCATTAAAGATAAAGAGACTTTTGAATTTTCCGGTATTTATTATTTTGGATTCAATAACGTGGATTATTTATAATTGAAATTCTTTATATATAACACAAGCACGAAAAAAAGTATAAAAAAAGACCGAACTCAAAGGAAAGTTCAAAAAGGGGAAATCGATAAAAACTGACAAAACCAAACGTCATCAACCAACAGAACGAGCGAAAAACAACTGTCATATTCATGATTTGGTACAGGCATTTTCCAAAAAAATATTGGGTTAAGACTGGTTTTATAGCTAGCTAATTTAAACATCCTACTTGTATGATAATTGTTTATAGTTCCGCTATATTGAAAAAAATGGATGAGCAACCAAACAGACATTATAGATTAATGTGACAATAATTTGGATCCAGCAGCCGTTTTGTGTTCTGAACATATAACAAAAAACAATAACATTGCATACCTAAGGAATAGAGGTATTGGCAGATCTTTATCAGATTTGGAGTAAAACCTTATAGTTCAAGGTTGGCAGTACCTTACCAGGTAGCCGAATGTTAAACGCCAAAGAGCAAACAAGACCACGGCAGTTATCATTTTAGTTTCGTTTATTAAATTATAAAATCTACATTTTCCCTTAAAAAAGTTGATGATTTGAAGGTGCTTTAGCTGTCGAATTCGTTTTCACCGATTCGACAAAAAATATCATAATTTATTTTTAACACACTAAAGCGTCATTTTAAATCATAAAAAGTCCTTAAGAAACAATTTAAAAATCACGGACTCGTTATAATGCATCAACACTTCGTATGTATTTTACAAAAGACGACATCTAATTAACCATCGAGTTGATCTCCGAAGATTTCCGTAAATCATATGACCTAATGTAACCATAAATATAAATATGAATGCACATGCAAGCACGTGCAATCGTATAACAACCATTTTTTTTATGTCTGATTGATTTCATGTCATACATTAAATCAAATGTATAAATCATCGTTTTGTCAGTATTTGAATGGCTTTTCGTGAGCAGTATCAGTCAACGAAAAAGACATTCCCAGCGGCTGCCTTCTTTTCACTTTTTTCAATGTTGACATCCCATCCCTAGTTAAGGGTTAAATTGAAGTTCACATGAATATGGATTCAAATGAATTGAATAATTGACTTGCAAGCTAATAATACATCATCGATGTTTTTTTTTATTGTATCTTAACAAAATTGAACCAAACTGACTGCTAACGGTGAAATATTATTTCACAATTCCGTTTTTGTAAATGTTTGAGACAAGCTAATCAATGGTACATTGTTTGTCCAATTTGGTCATGGCGATTATATATCATTCGTTATAATACATAGAACTGAATACAGGTGATCTTATAAGTCCAACTCTTATGCGATTCATTTTGTCTCAAAAAACTGAACTCTCCAAATACGATGTTTAAATTTACACAAGCATGCATATACAATTGTAGTTTTCTTCTGAGTTTAACTGGGAAATTTCACTGTATTTGCTAAAAACTTAAAATATTGGCAATGACATTTTCTATAACATAAAGTCAAAAATACATACCTGTAAAAGGTGCATTGAAATCATACACTGACCACATCTGGGCAATGAAAAATGGACCCCAGCAAAGAAGATAACACGTGACGACAATCAAGGTCATTTTGATTGTCTTGATCTTTGATTTAGATACCTTTTTCGTATGCACACGTGGTTGAATTATCTTTGATTTGTCATTGGTTGTCCGATGTGTGTCATAATTGCCATTTCTTGACTGCATTTGACGTTCATAACCAGATCTATTATCCATGGACTTCCAAACAACATAGCATATTCTTCCATAAGTAAAAACTAGTGCCAGAAACGGAACTAGGTAAATCGACACAAATATCCACGTTATATAGGCCTGCAGATGTGACATAGGTCCGTTACTTAGAGATTCCCAGCAGTCATATTCATTACTTCCGGGAGCAACTTCCACGTAGGAAAAAAATATTAGCTGAGGAATCGAAAATGCGAAGGATAAAAGCCATGCCACAGACACCATAAAATGAACTCGTTTAATAGTCCATGTCTGACTGTTTATTGGATAACAGATGGAAAAGTATCTATCTAAAGCAGTGGTTATTAGCACGTAAGATGATGAATACATTGAGATTAACTGGACGTATTTAACAAACTTGCATAGAACATTATTTCCTTGAAACCTATACGTCAAGTCCCATGCAAATTGTGGTAATTGGTTAAAAAATGCTAATGACAAATCTGCAATACACAAATGAATTATAAACCACTGCATCCGCGTCAGCTTTTTACGGTGACATTTTAAGGCGACAATCACAAGCACGTTTCCAATTACTGCTGTTATGAACATAAAAGCTAGCACAGCTAATTCAAATTTAGCAAGAAACTCGTTCCTTGCCAAAGTGGGCTGGGTACCAGTATTGTTTGTTGTGTTATTATTTTCTGTTATGTTGTTCACTAAAAATGATGCACTATCGTTGACTGTTGAGTTGTTCATTTTGAATTTTACATCGAATCTGAAATAAGAAAGGTGAGATATAAATGATTTGTATAGTATACATGTATAATATTAACTAATTTGGGAAAAACAATACACTATTCAACTAGTAAATGATGCGTTTAGTATAAATGTACACTATTAACTAATTCGGGAAAAACAAAACACTTTTCAGCTAGTAAATGAATACATTATATGAACAACAACAAAACAATAATGTTTACCCCGAATGTTTTTGCTTTGAATTATCAATATTATATTTTTTTAATTATCAAATACTGGTATATTCCGTAATAAGCTACAAAAAAAAACACGTTTCAATAGCCATTAACCTTCCGAAGTACATAAAAGCACCACCATTTTTTGGTGGGGATCGTGTTCTCATCCTTTAGTTTTCTATTGTCGTGTTTTATAGAATGTTGTTTGTCTGACTTTTCGTCATGTTTCCCAAGGCGTTATTAGTTTATATCCGACTTATGTTGTTTGTCCGTCTTTTCGTCATGTTTTCCCAAGATGTTATTAGTTTATATCCGACTTATGTTGTTTGTCCGTCTTTTCGTCATGTTTTCCCAAGGTGTTATTAGTTTATATCCGACTTATGTTGTTTGTCCGTCTTTTCGTCATGTTTTCCCAAGGCGTTATTAGTTTATATCCGACTTATGGTGTTTGTTTATCCCTTCAGTATCTTCCTTCTCTTTTTTTTTTATTCTTCAATTTAATTTCTTATTTTATATCTGTGTTATATTCAGAAATATTTTTCTTATTTCTGTTGATTAATGATTCGTAATTATAATTTTTTTCTCGTCAATACTCAATTTCCCGCCTTTCTTGTTATTTTTTGTTTTAACATTTCCCACTCCTATTATTAAGCTGTTTCAACTTGGAGGGCAATATAATTTGCAACATTCCTATATCCGAAGAAATACCCTGAAACCAGTATAAAATTGACTCCAATGAACAGATAGCATAAAAAGAAATAATTAATTATCTGTCAAGAGTGTTATCGAGAAAGAATCCGGGCAGTGTAAAACTCCATCCAAACATAATAGTCATTGGTGATATGAGATGGTTGATATCATTCGCTGATATAACTTTATCAATAAACAATTATAATAAAATATCTTTTTATACGTTTCATTTACCTCATCACGACAAAGTAGAAAATCGTAGAAAAATAAACAAAGTATTCGCATTATTTTAAAAATAAAAAACTATAATGATTATATCGTAAATCCTGTTATTCCATTTACACATGTTATTTACCTCATCAAGGCAAAGTAGTTGTTTGTAGAATTTAAATTAAACGAAGTATGAGCAAAATATCGTGAGATCTCGTGAATTGTTATATTTTCCTGTCTACCTACAAATCCTCCATACAATTGTTTTCAAAACAGTTTCAATCCGGTGTCAATGGTTTGTCACTAACGTCATGATAATTATGAAATTTCTGTTGACAAGTTACATGTAGAACAAACGCAATACATTATTAATCCCACGACAATTCCTGCCAATCTGCTTGTGATTGTGTAAATATGTATCCTTCAGAAACAGTTGCATGCTTTACAAAATAGATGTCAGAACTTATAAGTGGTCCGCACGTATTCCAAGTGTTTATGCAATGAAAATCATTAAATGAAAACAATATTGTATTATAAGAGTAACACAAAAGTATCGACAGGCTACATGTTAAAATAAAATTGCAAATGAAAAAATAAATCAAAAGAATTTTATGCGGCTGTTATAACCTGGTAATATAAGTAAAATATGATTGGAATTCTAAATAAAAGAACAAGTATTTGAGATCAATGGAACCTTTTGAGCATACCACTGAACCCCAGACACCTGTTTCTCTGTTATTGATGTAATACATTTTAAATTTATTTGTATTAATTGTAACTTTCTGCATGAAAGAATTGTAGCCTGGTATTAATCTAGTCAATAAAAGAAATATTGTGATGAAAAGTAGTACGACAGCTAATCATTGGCATCACTGTAGTCTAAACATCAACATTGAGATGTTAATACTAGTCTTCACTGAAACGTGCAAACTTGAAAATTATTCCTCCTCTCGAAGTGTTCAACAATTATGACAATACACTAAAGATCCAAACCTCTTTTTGCAGTAGTTCAAAAATGGAAAAAAGACAGCAAACGCAGCCGAAATGGGGAAAACTCCGTTTGCGCCAAAAAATGCACCCTTTTGAGCAACAATTTATTTGCGCCAATACTATGTTTGCGCCACTTGTTTTCAAAATATATAGTATCTTTTGCGCCAAAAATAAAGTCTACGATTGCGCTAATTTAAAAAAAAAAGACTTCTCTCCTCTTTTTTTATATTTAATGTAAGTAGTGAAACTTCGGACAATATCTAAAAATATATCTTCTGCATCCAAGCAAAAAAGCTAACGTTAGCTTCACAATCAAAAATCCCATTGCCATTTTCATCATCATTTACTTAGAAAAAATATTCATCTTTATTTGTTACGATTCCAACTTCATATAAAATGTCCCGGAACTCTTATTGACTTTTAGACTGAGCTCGGTACAGTTTCCTTCTTATGAACACGTAAATGTAAGCTTTGAAAATTCGAGAAATGAATAAAATGAGGCCTAAGGAATAAGAAACATTTTTTTACCTAGAATAATTTTATTTCTATTTTATGATTTGTGTTTGCATGTTGTAAAAAACGAAAATAAGAATATTTTCACGTTTTGATAAGAAAATAAAAATAAGATTCATTTGTTGATTGTTTAACGTCCAGTGACAAATATTTCATACATAATCAATGTAATTTTTATCATTAATTTATGAAGATATGTATGTTTATATGCTAGCATTTTCAGTTTATCTACCGACCGTGCGAGATCCTCATGGGTAGTCAAGCCCCCCCCCCCCCCCCCCCCACCTCCTAGTAGTAGTAATTTGTCTAGTAAAATTTGTTATTTATATCTTATTCAGTGAATTTTTTAGGAAAGTTTAAACATTTTTTCAAAAGATGTAAAATATTCATTACATACGATAGAGCCTACAAAAGCTGACCAAACTGTTGGAGACTGTAACAGTTATAAAGAGCCGTAATTTATGTAAGTAATCTGGCAATGTTGCAGTAATTCTTATTTGTATTTTGTACAAACAAATGAAAAGAAAAACGTGTCAAACAGACCAGAAATGATATAAGTGCCAAGGACACCGAGAGAAGAAAAAAAATGAAAATGAGGAACGTGATCTGTAATTATTTAAACAAAATAGTAATCTGAAGTTTACTTAATAAAGACGGAACCAATCAATGACAAAAGTGTTTATATAAGTGTCAATGGATCCAGAATGCACCAGAATGGTTTGCGAACTAATGTGACGAGACTGTCATTAATGTTATGATTTGTCAAATTTGTCACAAGTTTCCATTATTTATAAAAGTAATTGTATCGTAGTCACGTATGGATACCATTAACATAGCAGTAATTCGAGTTTTGACTGATCATTCAATAAACATTATGTCAGTGAGTTAAATAAAAGTAATCAATTACCCACTTATGAAATGGACACCATGCCTATCATTCATGTACATATATTTTTCTAATCTCCAGAATACTGGATACGGTAAATTGTTTATTCTTTTTATTTCTCGTGCAGATCTGGCGAGATTATATTTTCGCTTTTTATTGTCTTTTATTCCAATCTTCTGAAATATCAACCTTTGCGTCAGAATTTTTGCAATCAATTTTATTCGCGAAATTAGCAAAAATAAAACAATTCAGTGAATGTCTGAGCAATAAGCTGGGATTGTATACTGAATCAAAGCAGAGAAATTACATTAACATGATTAAGACAACGGTTTGTTGATGAAGATGAAGAAAGTAGAACTTCTAAGGTGCTCAATTGTCCTTCTATCTATAGTGCTGGCCTAGATGACTTAACTCACTATCATCTGCATGTTAAACGGCAGTTCTTTTCATAGTTCGTGAGTCATGATAGTCGAAATAAAAAAAAACACAAAGACCAACATGACATAACCATTATAAAGATTGAAAAAAAGATAATGTTAAAATTGTTTAGTTTCAAGTCAGGAACCTGTAATTCAATGATTGTCGTTTGTTGCGGTCTACCATATTTATTTTCACTTATTTTTTAGAATAAACCAGGCCGCTATAGTTTTATCTTTTGAATTGATTGACATTTTGTCATGCCTGGGTCTTTTATAGCTTACTATACAGTATGTGTTTGCTCATTGTTGAAGGCCTTACGGTAACCTATTATAGTTGTTTACATCCTCGCCCTGTCGTCTCGGGAGGATAGTTGTCTCAATTCAGCTAATAAATGAACCCATGCTTATCTAAAACTTTTTTTTTATTTAGATTTGTATTATTATAAGAATAACAGTAGCTTGTTTAAAAAGTTGTACACATAAAATACCCGTTTTTTCGGACCACGGTACGCGTCGCCACTAAACTAAATTTCGGACCGTTAAATTATCAACTGACGAGGGTAATTCTTGAAAGACAGTTATTTAATTCCTCCCAAAATATATAAAATCTGTGCTCTGATGTTTGCTTTTCGTATTATTTATCATTTTGTATCTAAGCCACTGCTTTTTAGTTGTCTTAAAATAAATTGGAAAATATATACATATTGGAACACTTGATATTCCAATGCTAAAATACGTCAGCGCAATCATATTCAAGTTATTAAAAACTAATGATCTATTGCAGTATGAAATTCACAGCGTAATCAATTTCTTTGAGGTATATATAATAAATATGAAATAAATACATTGGTAGGATGAACATCTTAGACCTGATGCGGTATGTAAGTAAAGTTTAAGTATCTCGATTATTAAACGTTATAAATATTCTAAATTGTTTTAAGTTCATATGGTTTCTAATCAAATACAATTGCACCGTTTCGTATGCATATATTATTATCATAAAATTAAAAAACATCTAAAGATTGTAAAGTACATATGGTGTCTAATAAATATACAATTGTACTTCCTGCATATATTACGATCATAAATGTTAATAATATTCACATTTTTTAAAGGTTACGTGGTTTTAGATAAATATACAATTGTACTCGTCTCTTTCATCGTTTGTTGTAAATTACTTTTATCAATATACATGTGTTAAAGTTATACGCACCGTTCAAAGCAAGTACATGTACAAGTATGCTTAAAATTCAAACCGAAACAACAAGTGCTTCATTTAGATAGGGTAAATTCTCTCGGAGTACCTGATAAAACTCTCGGTTGTTATAGGAGTATGTATGTTTCTTACTCCGGTTGTCAATGTGAGAGTAAATTTGGCCCTAGCTTTAGTTTTCATTTGTCTGCTGTTTATATAGGACCTGTCTTTGTTAACGGTTTTGTGATCTTCGACTTCGATGTCACTTTTGTATCTTCTACCCACTTTCTATTTAAAGGATTTCAATATGCTTCTATCACTCATTCAAATATTGGATCTTGCATGCCCAAGACGAAGGTCAAATATAATCAAATAAATGTTGCAACTCTCGGGACAATTGCCATTTTCACATAGAGATTACTTTTCAATCATTTTATTGCTAGAATGAGTTGATGTCTGGGGTCAATTGATTAAGGTTAAATCTTTGATGTCTTTTTCTGTCTGTCCAGTGGTATTCTTGGCAATGACGGATTATAACTGACCAGGAATGACCGTTATGATTGATAAGAAAATATACAAAAGCCAATCCAATTCATCATTATATCAAGATATATAGTCAAAGGACAATTCATTTCATCATCACAATTGCGCTTAGTTTGAATAATGAAATGTCTTTGTTTTAAGAGGGTCTGGGTTGGGAGTCCTTCATTTCTGTATTATTTAATTTGTTAGACCATTTTCTCTATTCTTTATACTTTTTGCCCAATATTCTCTATTCTTTCTATTTTAGCACCTCATTATTCTCTATTCTTTTTTTTTGTCAATTTTTCTCTATTCTTTATATTTTTTGCCCATTATTCTCTCTTCTTTCTATTTTAGCACCTCATTATTCTCTATTCTTTATATTTTTTGCCCATTATTCTCTATATTCTGTAAACCCCCACCCACACCCACTTTTAATACAGAATGATTAGACCCTTTGCATTACCCGGTTCTAAACATATTTTGTACATGTTCGACCTGCTAGTGAAATGCCTTTTGTGAAAATATACTTTTTCACTTTTTTGGTCTTTTGGAAAATGTTGTTTGTGCTGTATTTAGACCCTTCTACCAAGAAGTTTGTTTTGCATGCACACGTATAAAAATTGCGGTTTTTTCCAACGCAATCATACGTTTGAACGTTGTTTTCAAGTTAGACTTGTTTATATAAGTATTTTGTATATACATACGTCTGATTGTTCATCTTAAGTTTCTAAATTGGATCACTACAGAAACAATTACAAGGGTGGAGCTTATACAATTATTATTTTAACCGTAATTGCAAAATATTAATAAACTGTTATACCTTTCTATGTATGTCTTTTTTTCATGACCGAAAAAAATCATTGAATAATACTCTTTTAAGATCAATAAAAACATACTAAGTTAGAAGTATTTTCCAAAGTTATCTCATAAAATCTCTAAATTTAAG